CATAAGCTAGGGGGCGCATGCGGCCCGTAATATGTTAATTTTTTTATAAAACGGTAATTTTCCCGCATTAGCACTCCGCTTCTAGGTATTTTGCCAATCTTCATGGAAGTCGAGTAGTGCATAAAATGGAGCATCTCGCCTGTTTCTCGGGAGGAATGTTTGCACTTCAGTCAGCCAACGAGTACAATGCCAGTGTTTCGGTATGGTTGTATTTTTAGAAATATTCTGTGATTTACTGGTTGGTACACCTATTATAGAGTTTATGTGATTTACTGGTAGGTTACTGGTTGGTAGATGTGCACCTCTGTATAAGGTAGCACGATTCGCAGTTGCACAAGTTGCACCGTTTAGCGCCTGAGCAATGTAGGCGCTGAGGTTGTCATTCTTTGTAGCGACTCCACCCATCAACAGCGACTCTAATTACCGAATTCATACCTGGCGTTGTACTTGACTCTCCCTTCCCCATTCCTTTGTCTCTGGTCTCTCGCTAGTGCTCGCAGCGTTTCTTCGCCTCGCGCTTTCCATGCTCACCCAAAGTTAAACATTAATTGGAAAGAGACGGATCTCCTTTATGGCATTTGCCACGCTTTATCTGCTTTTTTCTCAACGATAAGACGATTAGCATCTACGAGGCCTATAACTTAATTGCATTACCACCAGCTTGAGATCGCAGAGTGTGGCTTCAGAGTGTTTGCAATTCTCTTTTGAAGAGCTAAATTCAGAGACATTACTTGGATCTCGCCGAGAAGCTAGCTCATACATGCCACGAGTCCTACACACGTACTGGTATGTTTCTCGTGACTTTATTAGTAGATAACTGTATAGTGTAATATAATTATTATCTGAAATGCGAGACTAAGCATTCAACTATCTGCAATGATAATGTTATAGCGATTGGCATCGGACCGGAAGCTTTTCGGTTCACTAACGACAATGAGGCTAAAGCTGTAGCGAGTAATGAGAAGTACTACATATTGAGACCTGAGGTAATTTTCGTTTCGCTTTTGCTTCTTTACTCCTCTTACAGAGAAACTATTATGCTGTGCTATAGGCAAACTTTTGGCCAAAAACTTTTTTGGCCAAAAGTTTGCCTATAGGTGTAATCGATGATCCTGATCACGATTCTGACACTTATTCTTGGCGTGACGCAATCTGGCGTCAGAATAGAATAGCCCTGAAAGTCCCTCAAATGAGTGTACATAGCGACTCCAGTGGGAGAAAGACGTGGCTCCAAATTGGGGATAAATGGCACTACAGCTGAAAGGAAGTGCCATAGTCGTGATCAGGGCACTGACTCATGTATAAAGTAACGTATGAAGATCAACTTCCAGAAAAACTCTCACTTAATGGTATGTGAAAATCGAAATTGCTGAATAGCACCGACTAGGGGTATAACTATTTAGGAATGTGCCTATAAATGGCAGATATCCGAGTAAAATTCATTAACAGACATATATGGAAGCGAGAACAGCGGAAACATAAAAAATGCAAAAACTCGCAAGCCGAGGGGAGTCGAACCATCAACCCCACCCTCACTGTCCGATTGAGAATCCTCCACGCTATCCACTAGGCCATCCGATCGTTACAGCTGAACACCGCTCCGATCGTTGAAGAAAATATTCCGACGAGCCGCTCAAAGCCGCTCACTCTTGATCACATGCCACAAGTAAGACCCCATTTGCGACTATTTTTCTCCTCGATTCCAATAGTACCTTTATAAGGCCCCTCCACTCAGCAACTGGTCGAAGTTGCAAGTGATTTAGAGCTCACAGAGGCTCAAAAACCACCGGTTTCCATAGGTTTCTTTTTCACTCCTTTTTTGGTATTTCCAGAGCCGCGTAGGAAAAATGAACATCAGTTTGGTACTCCATGCACGTGACCCCACATCATGCAAAAAACCGTTTTCAAAAAGCGCTCCACGTCCTGAACGACCTTCCTGGTCAGTGTAGAAGCGGAAAAAATGACCGGCCAAAGTCGCACTCTTTTTGATAGTTTTGTCAGATTTTTTGAAGCTGCACATGGGTACCTTGTTTGCTCAGTTTGAGTGCACATTCGAAATAATTCCAAAAAATAGATCGGGACTGAATCGGTCAATACCGCATAATCAAAGAGCTGAAACGGTTGAAATGTCATTCCTTGGTCTGTTTTCGCTACAGCGTGTTGGGTCTGTGATGTGTGTCTGTCTGTCTGTCTATCTGTCGGTCTGACTGTCTGTTGTGCACGAAACATAGCAGCCTATAGAACCTAAAGAAGAACTTGGAGGGGTCTGGTCGAAATCGAAATCCGCAGCAACAGTGCGACGTTGGTTCAAGATATAATATAGGCGTGGTACAGGAGCATTATTGGTGAATGGCAGGGATTGATAACTGCTTATAAGCTTTGATAAGGAGCGTCAGAGGAAGGGGTCACATATTGCACAGCGCGTGTCACAGCAGCAATGACGCGTTCATTTGAAGATCTAGTATAGGAGGTAGGAGTTGAACAATACTGATGCTCGAGCTGATAGGGTTTGATAATCCATTGGGATGCGCCACGCAATTCGTGCGCCTTGAGCGGTTCCATTCAAAAGCGACGTGCTTAAACCATGAATCAGTCTTAGAATTAATTACAAGTATACAACTTTAAGGTTGTTGAGACATGGTTCTATCTCTGGCGCATCACGAAACAGGACAAGTATCGAGAATGGGCCTGGAAGGTAGTGCTAGCTCTAGAGAAGTATGCTAAAGTGAGTTTTCTTAATAATTAGTGCAGGCCTACTGTAGTCTTCAACGTATTTCGTTTTGATGGTAACTTCAGGTGGAAGGCGGTTATTCTGGAATTCGAGACGTTTATACTGTTCCAGTGGATCATGATGATGTACAGCAGTCATTTTTGTTTGCCGAGCTTTTCAAATACTTGTATTTAATTTTTGCTGATGACGACATTCTGCCTTTAAACCAATGGGTATTCAATACGGAAGCTCATCCATTCCCCATTCGGAAGCAATAACCACATATTTTCTCTTAGTCATTAAAAAGTAATTCAGCAGACAATGCTGCCGGATGATTCTTATTCCAGGTGTCTTTTTAGAAAGTCCTTTTCCTCTTGGAAAAGCTGTACTGGAAATGGTTTTTGCATTTTGTAACGGTATGTGATGTCAGGGTTTTCTGCGCGGCTCTGGGTAGGCCAAAATCGGGACTAGAAAGTCCTTCTTTTCCAAAAATTTTTCTCCAATGCTGCCAATCTATTATTTACGCCTTTTATTGCCCAAACTCTTTGTGCATTCTGGGACAAGTGTGACCCAAGAAATACTTTTCAAAACGATACAGAAATATTGAATTGGATTTTGTGGAAAAGGTTTGCTTCATTTTTTCTTTGGTTTACTCAGGGCGCCGCACAAAAAATTAGTATTTACTTGGCAATATCGGCCAAATTGTTTGCCGAAACTCTCTTGGATTTTTAATGCTGGCCTATATACTTCTTGGTCAGTCAGTGTCTTCCTCGCGATGAGCTGCACTGGTGCGACAGTGCGCACCCCGCGTTTAAACTGACTGTTCCCACGCCCGTTGTACTGGTCGCACTGCCTACTTTTTTTTGAAGTTTGAAAAAGCACGAAAGGAAATTCGTTCATGCGTTTGTGGCGCCAATTTACACCTTTACTAAATTTTTCCCGATATTTTCCTGAGGGGTGTGGCCCAGAACAGTCCTTTCTTACGGGTGACTGTAAGGCCTTCAGAAACCTGACGCTGAACCAAATAGCAATGGGACAACCTCTACAATAACGCGGTCAGTGAGAGTGAGTGTGAATGGAAGCAAATCTATTCGCAACAAGCTCCTCGTCGCAATCCGACGACGGCGCTGTTCAGATAGTGTGGGATATGAGCACCCAAGCGTTTCCTTACCATTTGGTTGTTTACTGCCTGAAACCGGTCACTATTGAGTGAACACAGCTGGCGACGTGAGCCACATTCCACCCTTCTCGACGCCTTTCTAATGTGACGCTATACATCTAGTGCGGCAGTATGGCAGTGTTCAGACTTCGCGACGGCAACGTCTGGGTCGTGCATGCTTTCGACTGCGTCGATGGAAAGCATAAGGGATTGATCGCGTCGAACACGAAGGGCGAACCGAAGCGTTGCCGTCATCGCGTAGCGTGAATATGCAACGAGGGATCCGCTCGAGCCCAGCGGGTGAAGGCCGTACCATGGGCGCTCATCACAAGTCCATCTGGTCCAGTAAGTATTACAGTACAAATTGACGACGTTGCAAGCATAAGCTCATGATTCTTTTGTCGTGCTCAATGCTCTACTGCGATTGTATCTCTATCGAGGGTATTACGAAGGTATAGAATATACTGTTTCATTGTTATGTATTGTGTAAAATTAAGTGTTATCGAGTCGCGATGGATGGTTTTCTTCTTTTGCCGTGGTAGTTCCGGTTAGTGCGGTATCACTTGCAGCTTTTCTATTTTGATGCGTTCCAAACAAACAAAGCACGGGGAATACCGCAATCATGTCATTTATAGCGGCCATTATGTAAATGTATACATTTTTCTAACTTTTTTTTCTCGATTCCACCTTATTCTGGTCTTATATTACAGTTTCATCTGAATTTGCACTATGCGATAGAACTTGCCTGCTGCTCTTTTGTACAAAAGGTGATTAACGTAAGATATTAAAATTGTATGGGATTTTGCTGTTGTGACAACAAATGTGCCAGCATGTTGCATTGTGGTATTATTTATTGTTAAATTTAATAAACATGAATTATGTCTAAACAGACTTACGATTGAATGCTTGGAAAACTAGCAGCTCACTGGAAACCTAGGTCTATCAAGTCGAATGCAGTTCGCCAGAAATAGTGCGTTATGAAAGACCTCATTGGTCCCCATTGAAAACCTCTCTAGCTTGAAGCGCGTCCATACTTCGCGATAGCTCCATCGCAAAGTATGAACGCACTCTAAAGGACCATCAAAGCAAGTAATGTTGACGAGTCAACTAGCTAGGAAGTATATTTCTACGGACACCTTGAACTCAGTCCCTCTAAACGCGTCGATCTTCTCTTTTTCTCTGCACTCTCTCGTCCGCATGGCCCTGGCCGTTGTGACTTCGCACATTCCAGCTTTTCACCGATTATAAGTAGCTCACCCACCCCGGAGTCCCCTCCCCTTGCCAAAGCCCGTTTCCTGGCTCGCCATATGTTTCTTGCACGTTTCGATGCTTTGGCAGCCGCTGTCCTCTATCCGTCTGCGTTACAGGGTTTCGTAAGAAGACCATGCAGAAAAGTTCAAGATGTGAATGTGCAACGGGTCGCATCTATTCCTACACCGTCCGCGCAACGCGTATCGACCGCGGCGCTCCTGGCATTTTGCCAATCTTTGGTGATTCACGCTTCCGCGCTAAGTGACACATTTGTGGCTGCTAACAAGAAGCGAAGGGATGGATTTTCAATGCATGGGATGGGATAACTTGGTTTTCTTCTTGTATTGAGTCAGCAGAGAGGCAGGATGTGCGCAGTTACAGAAAAGACCGATCATTTCTCAATTTAAGAACAGCGAGATGCGCTTTAATCGCTATTGGAAGCGTGAATCACCAAAGATTGGCAAAATGCCAGGAGCGCCGCGGTCGACACGCGTTGCGCGGACGGTGTAGGAATAGATGCGACCTGTGTAACGTCTCCTCCCCTTGTTGATTTCTCGTCAAATGAGAGGGAAACTTCCGATTATACTTAAAGCTAAATTTAATAACTACCAGGAACACTGAGGGCTACTAGGAACACTGAGGCGGGGGTGGTAGTGGCAAGTGGCGCGCTTACCACTCACGTGGTCCTGGGTTCCGATCCCGCATCCCACAATGGAATTGACTGCGAAATTTTTATCCTTTTCTTTATACCAGGAGACAGTTTCTGACAAGTTTATTTAATATTATAAAATGTAAAAAATGTGACAAGTTAATTGACAATCACAAGAACGTTGAAAAGAATAGAATTATCGAGAAGTGCTAACTAAAAGAGAAGATTATCATCCGGGAGATTTTCACACAGTCCATTTAATGCAGAATGAGCGTCATTATATCATGCAGTGAATACAAATGTGTATGAATTCAGAGTGTTATTAAAACTGAAGCATTGTAAATACATTAATGGTCCCTAATCAGTCACAGCACTTTATTGCATATCGTTCTATTCATCAAGTATTAGAGGTTGTTAGGTACGCATGCAGTATCGATCCAATAAGCGCGCGCGGTTGTCGCTTATTGCGGCCGGAAGTGGGAAACGTGGACTCTCTATTTATGTATTACAGTGGTTAGAAAGAAAAAGACACATAAAACCTTTCGAATTAGAATCGCCCTACTCCTAAGTCCTCGTCCTCTAGGTAAGCAATTCTACCCTACCTAGTAAAGAAGCATATAAAAATGGCCCTCATTTTACTGACCTGAGATCTCTGCAGAATCTAGCACTTAATATGAAACACTACTTGTCTTACGAGAGTATAACTATCAGTGGAGGGACAGTGAGAGCAGCAAAAATACATGAACAGAACGCGAGATTTAGACCCCGCCTCCAGATCGGTTCACTCCTGGCGTTCCATGAATCTCGTCCAGGTAAAGCACCAGACGGTTGGCACTGATCTGCCCGCCTTTCAGGCCAGAATACAACTGAAAGCACAGTTAAAATGACCTTGCTGACCGTTCGAAATGGGAGAAAAATTGAACAAAACTACGAAAAATCCCTGTACTTGGAAAAAGTCAAAAGCTTTCTTACCTGGAAGAATTCAGAGATTTCGATTTCACCGTTCTTATTCAAATCAACTTCGTTCAGTAGCTCGTGCAAAACTCGTTCATCAATCTTCTGGTTGTGATCCTGAAATGAGGATTTCATGTCACTCAAGCTATTTGTGGAAGGGGAGGAGCCATCGGCAACACGGGTGACCACGCCTCTGTTCTTCTGCGCCCTCTCAACCAGATAATGTTCGATCAGCGGCCTATCCTTCTACCTTGCCTCAGAAAGCGCCAACGAGCAGAAGGACGTGGTCTAGTACATAAGTATAAAAAGAAAATCGATATAAAAACGAAAGAGCACGAACCCTAAAGTGACGTCTGAGGTCGTTAACGGTAATGTGGCCTTTCCTGTCCTTGTCCAATTGACTGAAGCGATCTTTCGCTGCTTGCATTTCCTCCCTGAAACATGACAGTTGATCTGAAGAAAAATATTGCATTGAGATTCCCACGAAAAAGTATTAACCTAATGAAACTTCAAAACCATAGGTTGTGTTGTTGATGGATATTGAGCTTGTACTCTCTTTCACAAAAGTTTAAACTTTTCTGAGTTATTCATTTAGTAGTTTGTTAGGCATAATGATACCCGATGAAATTCAGCTCTTCCGTTTAGCTGATAAACAAGGTACTAAACATCAGAGTAACCCAAATGGATTACAGTCTTGTTCGCTGCGGATGATGTGGCGTCCCATGAGGAATGGGTATGGCGCAGCGCCAGCCCGCTTCTTTTTTTTCTTTCGGTGAGGGACAACGCTGTATCACATGGTTCGCATCAATGGTTTTCCACCAACTGTTGGCGTTCCAACTGGTAGAGAACAGGCTGTCGGGGCCTCAAAC